GTATATAAGTTTTTAATAAGCGATATTTAAATTCTTTATCTTAAAATAATTATAAGATTAAATTTAATAATTCTTCTTTTATCTAAAAGCCTATATTATATTCTATAATTTAGAGAGAAAAAATCTAAAGTTTTAATAGAAAACTATAAAGTTATTTTAAAATTAAATAATATATATCTATTTTTTAATTAAGACTACGAGTTATCGACTATCGAGTAAATTTAATAAACGAACTTTTAATAGACGATATTTGAATTTCTTATCTTTAAATATTTATAAGATTAAATTTTATAATTTTTTCGATAATAAGAAACGTAAATTACGCTTTATAATTAAAAAGAATTCTAAAATTTTAATAGAAAATAAAAAAAAAATTCTAAAATTAAATAAAATATATCTATTTTTTAATTAAGACTATCGAGCGAACTTTAATAAGCGATATTTAAATTCCTTACGCTTTAATAAGTATAAGATTAAATTATTAAATTCTTTTTATATTTAAAAGCGTAAACTTCGTTCTATAATTTAAAAAAAAATTCTAAAATTTTAATTAATATATATAAAAGAATAAGATAGAATTAAGTTATAAAATCTTAAATTTATATATATAGCTAATTATAAATTTAAAATTACTACGCTCTTCGATTAGATCGACTAAGTTATTATAAGTAAATAAATTAGTATTCGCAATTATTAAAATCTCGCCCTCCCGCGTCTCCCTTATTATAAAAATAAGTGTACGTTATTTATAAATAGAAGAACTTTTTTATTTTCTATTAAAATTTTGAGATTATTCTTTTAAATTATAGAGCGTTATTTACGCTTTTCAAGTTTTTAAGACATCTAAAATTTGGTCTTATAGTTATTAATAAGTAGGGAATCTAAATATTACTTACTAAAGTTCGCTCGACAGCCCTAATTAAAAAATAAATGCATATTATTTAATTTTAGAATAACTTTTTTATTTTCTATTAAAAAAATTAATTTTCTTTTCAAATTATAAAGCGTAATTTAGATACTTTAATTATTTAAGAATTTAAAAATTTAGTCTTATAATTATTTAAAGATAAAAATTTAAATATTTCTTATTAAAGTTCGCTTATTAAATTTACTCGATAGCTCTAATTAAAAAAATAGATTATGAATTTAATTCATAGGTCTAAACTCGTAGAAAATAAAAAAGTCATTCTAAAATTAAATAATGTATATCTATTTTTTAACTAGAGCTATCGACTGTCGAGTAAATTTAACGAGCGAACTTTAATAAGCGATATTTAAAATCCATGCCTTTAAAAAATATAAGAATAGATTTTATAATTTTTTTACTATTAAAAAGCGTAAGCTACGGGCTATAACTTAAAAAAGAATTAATAAATTTTAATAGAAAATTAAAAAGTTATTAAATGATTAAAAGTAGAAAAAGAATATTTTAATAGTTACGAACGTTAATTTATTTACTCGTAATATCTAATTAAAAAGCGTAGATCTAACGAGTTTATAATTAGCTATATATATATATTTAAGTTTTTATAACTTAATTCTATCTTATTCTTATATATATACTAGTAAAGTTTTAAACTAATTACTCTTTTAAATTAAAGTTAAACTTTTAAAACTTAATTTTTTTTTCGATATATAAATTTATTATATAAAATATTTAATTAATATATATAAAAGAATAAGATAGAATTAATTTAAAAAATCTTAATTTATATATATAGAGTTAATTATAAATTTAGATTCGTTATACTCTTTAATTAAACCGACTAAATTAGCCCGTTAACTCTCTCGCGCCTTCTTATTAAGAAAAAAATAGATATATATTATTTACATATAAAATAACTTTTTTATTTTCTATTAAAATTTTAAGATTTATTTTTTAAATTATAGAATATAACTTACGCTTTTAGATAAAAAAAGATTTTTTAAATTTAGTCTTATAATTATTAAAGCGTAAGAAATTCAAATATCGCTTATTAAAGTTCGCTCGACAGTCGAAGCTCTAATTAAAAAATAGATATACGTTATTTATATATAAAATATCTTTTTTATTTTCTATTAAAACTTAAAGATTTCTTTTTTAAATTATAGAACGTAACTTATACTTTTAAATAAAAAAAGAATTATTAAATTTAGTCTTATAAATATTTAAAAGTAAGAAATTTAAATATCGTCTATTAAAAGTTCGCTTATTAAATTTACTCGATAGCCGATAGTTTATAGCTCTAATTAAAAAATAGATATATATTATTCGATTTTAGAATAACTTTTTTATCTTCTATTAAAATTTTAGATTTTTTTTTAAATTATAGAACGTAATATACGCTTTTAAATAAAGTAAAAATTATTAAATTTAATCTTATAGATATTTTAAGATAAAGAATTCAAATCTCGCTTATTAAAAACTTATTTACTCTATTAAGAATATTCTTTTATATAAGCTTAAATAGTCGAGTAGTAATAATTTTAATAAAATTCGAAACTATTCTACTCCGTCCTCGGTTCGAATTAATAAATCTCCCTCGCTAAAAAATCGTAAAATCGTAAAATTATAAAAATCGTAAAATTTATAAAATTAATAAAAATTTTATAAATTATAAATTTAAAAATAATAATAATTTATATAAAAGAACTATTATTAATATTAAAATTAACTTCTTATTAATTAAATTTAAATTAATTTAAAGTTAATTAATTCTTTAATAACTTATTAATTATATAACTTCTCTTTTTTCTATTATAATTTTTCAATTTTTTTTTAAGTTATAGAACGTAATTTATACTTTTAAATCATTTAAGAGTTATTAAATTCAATCTTATAGTTCTAAGTAAATCTTAAATTTAAAAAAATTCACTCTTCGAGAGTCGAATTTAATCTCGAAATTAGATTTAAAAATTAATTACTTTTTATAAATTTAACTTATAGGCCTAAACTAGTACTTAATAAGATCGTAAAGATATTATAATAAAGATGATTTTTTTTAAAAAATATTATTAATAAGATCGATAATATTATAAATAGAAAATCTATTAATAATAGATTACTCTAATTTTTTAATATAATTAATTCGAAGCTACGATATAATATTCTTAAACTTCTCTCTATTATTTAAAATATTAAAATCTAGTAATTTATTAATCTATCGAGGTCTTAATAAGTAATAAAGATATTCTTATTCTTTACGTCGATTGCTAGAATTCTAAATCTTTTAAAAATAACGAAGATTATATTAAATAAGTAATTTAGAATTTAAGATATTAATATTAACGAATTAGAGATTAATAGATAATTTAAAACTTATAACGCTAATATTAACGAATTAGAAGTTAATAAATAATATAAAACTTATAATTTAAATTTTAAATTATAAATTTAATTTAAATATTACTCTTAATATTTCGTCTAGATAGATTTCTCGATTTCGTATAATATTATATTTCTAATATTTCTTTAAATTTATTTTTTAATATTAATTAAGAGAGTAGAAGATTAATAAGTCTTTTTTTTATTTATATAAAAATTAATATAAGACGCTAAGGCGATAAAATCGTTATAATCTTAAAGAAATATAATTATTAAGTTATAGTTAATCTATTATTTATTTTACTATTATCGCTTAATATATTTATAATAATTATCTTCTTCTTCTTATTATTTAATCTCTTATTAAAACTATTATATATTTAATTATAACGCTTCGAGTCTTATAGCTTCTATTTCTTTACTTTCTTATTAATAGTTTTCTTTATTCTATACGTCTAAATAATTAGATTCTAAGCGTTTATCGTCTTAGTCTATTTATTAATTTATATCTTATAGCTATAATCTATATTATTTTCTCTTATAAGCTATTTATATTTAATCTTAAGAATAATTCTTATATAACGTTTATAGCTAGCGTATAAACGTTTAATTATTTTTTTAAATTATATATATACTTTAAATTAGAATAAATATATTAATATTACTTTATATCTAATTTAATACTTTAAAGTAACGCTTATTATAATAATACTCTTTTATTCTATTATTTATATCTCTCTTAATATTAATATATCGAGATTTTATCTTTTTTAACGTCGTCTTTTTAATATAGATAGCGAATTCTTTATTAGCTAACTAATATCGAGTTAATCTTATAAACCTTTCTATTATTTAATTATATATCGCTTTAAAGTAATAATATTATCTAATAATAATAACTTCTTATTTACTAATAATATATATTTCTTCTCTTTACTCTTTCTACTATACTTAGTCTTAAAACTTTTCTAAAAAAACTTCGATTAATATAACTTCTTCTCTTTTCGCTTATATAAGAAAATTCGAAGAGTAAAACTCGTAAGAGATTTATAATTATTCTCTTATAATCGATAAGACTTTAAAGTTATATTAGAATTAATTAGAAGTATAAAGATTTAAATCTCTATCGAGTAAATAAAAAGTGTACTATAATTAGTCTCTAATAGAGTATTAAGTAATAAATATAATATAAAAGACGATTAAGATAAGATAGTAAGAGCGACTAGTTTAGATAATATTAGAATTTTTTTTTTTTAAATCTAGATTAAAGCTTCTTTATACGCTTTAAATCGAATATAATAATATTAGAAATATTCTTTTACTTTTAAGCTATTATTTATATTAAGAATAAGAGATAAATTAAATATAAAGGTAGATAGATAAGACGATAGATAGATCGAATTTCTACTCGCGAAATTTATTTAAATAAACGTTTAATTAAGTTAATACGCTAAGGCTTAATATAATAATTAAGCTTATAAAAAGTATTTATATAATATATAAAGTATTTATATAATATATAAAGTATTTATATAATATATAAAGTATTTATATAAGATAAACGATTAACTACGCTAAGTATTATCATATATAATTAAACGATTAAAATTTTACCTATTTAGATTATGAAGAATATTATGAAAAACGTTGCTAAACCTCCCTAGTACGCTAAAGGTCCGCACCACGAATATTTGAATCACAGGATACAACCACCCTGGTTTCTGAGCCCCCATTCCATCTGCACCATCCCAGCTCTGACTCCTCTTGCAACTAGTCTTTCTCTCATCTCTGCGAGCCTTCTCGTAGCTGGCTCCCCTACGCCCACCTTGCCCCTCCATAGAACTTCGGCTGCGGCCGCTGCTCGAGGCCAGAGCATGTTGTCCTACATCGAATGTCATCACCCCTGATCAAAAGGGAGGGTCTTAACTGGAATTTAGATCTGGGGGAAATCGTACCAGATTAACACTATCCGTCAACTCCCCCCACAGATGAACCTCTCCGCCTACAACCAAATGCCTATGCTCTTCCGGGATGCCTCTAAATGGATCGAAAGAGAGTATCTGGCGCCAGTTTTTGTACGGACCGCACCAGTCGTGAAAAGGGCGTTTGATAGGACTATCAACATTTGTCGGATCCGGATCGATGAATGTACCATAGCCGGAGTCAAGATACCATTCCTCACAAGGGCCGAACAAGGCACGATGGCCTTTCGCGACGACTTTGGCAAGGGAGGCTGAGGACCGCCACGTCTGGATAATCGTGTTCGCGGGCAGCTCGAGCTCCCATTCAAGCAGCATATCTTCCCATATTGAAGGGATCAGACCGTGAGAGTGCACGAGCGAGATGATGTGGTTCATAAGGTGTTGGAGGAGTGGTCGAATGACCTTTTTTGAGGAAGATTGCACGGTTGGGTCGAGGTTGTAGGCTTCGAGATTCAATTCGTCGCCACCGACGTGGAAGTGCGAAGTGAAAGGCGCGCTTCGACGTAGGAGGTCGTTTAGGAGCGTAGTCAGGAACGGAGGAACGTCCAGAGAATTCAGCTTCAGTTGGCCTGCTGGAGGCTCCATAGCGTATGTTGCCCAGGGTTTGTTGTACGCAGTGATGAGATCTGGGCGCGAGTGGTATATCGATGCCGTATGGCCCGGCAAGTCTATCTCGAGATACACTTCTATACCGTGGTAGAGGCCGTACTTCTGTACTTGTTCAAGATCTTTGACGGACCAAATTTGATCTTCGCGGTAGGCGCCCTCTTTCGCTAAGCTAGGGAGAGCGGGGATCTCGATGGGCCATGATTGAGCGTCTGAAGCGTGCAGATGCAGCTTGTTCAATTTGTTGAAGGCCATGGCTTCGAGTGTGCGTAGAACATCGCTTGGAGGGATCCAATTCCGGCAGATGTCAAGATTGAGGCCTCTGTGTTCGAATACCGGGACGTCTTTGATGAATGCTGGTGCGTAGGGTGTATAAACCTCTTCTTTGGACTCCGAATGTGCATAAAAGAGCTGCACAAGCGTCTCTAGTGCTCTTAGCGCTCCTTCGGGATGTAGAGTACTGATGAGTACATGGCCATCGAGTGAAATGTGCATTGAGTACGCCTCCCTGGAAATCGTAGGGTGACGCTTCTCTGTATCAGAGTCCACAGTTTCCTCGATGGTGATCTCCGTGATGAATGTCCTCCGATCGTCCAGGCTAGGCTCGAATTGAGCTCTTCTGGGGTGGAATTTGTAGGGGACAAAGTGCCCAGAGAAAGCTCTCGCAGTGAATCGTTCGAAGGCGATCTGGAGCAGGTCTGGAGGGTACTCGAGGGATTTGGACTGGGGTGACTGCGATGAACCCGATCTTCAGACGAGTCAGCACATGCGTCGAAATCTCTCGTATGTTATACATGGGTGCGACGCAGGCTAGCTATCAGGGCACCGCCTTGGGTTAAATCCCCGAAAATAGACTGAACGTTTCTGCAGTGTTGTATTTGCGTTTTGCCACAAGATCCATCATCGCATAGGGAGTATTTAAGGCAACTGCAGCAGAGGTTCCGTTCCTCAAATTCCAGCTCTTATGAGCTACGATTGGCTAGACACAATGGGGTAGAGCGTTTCCGAAGAAACTGCAGCAGGATACGTTGATCAAGCAAAGTTTTACGCTTGGGAGCTTTGATGTTCAATATCCTAGGGAGTCGCCCCCCTCTACCTGGTCAATTCTTTTGCATGATAGGAGAGCAACGTACGATTGAAGCCTCTCCAAGCCGCCGTACCAGGCGCCTTGCTGGCTAACAGCTTTGCTGTAATGAACGTATTGCAGGCGAGGAGAAAGCCACAACGTTGATTCCCCTTGTTCGTATTGTGTTGGTAGTGGCCAGGGGGCCATGGCAAGGAGTGGACAAGAGAGAGAGAATCAACGTCAGAATGAATGATGGACTTTAAGGATGAGCAACTCAACGTGAAGCTCAATACTAATGTGAAGCGCAGGAGCCCAATGATCCTCGCAGTGTGCAGCGCTGTAATTGGATGGCAGGCGCATACTCCTAGGGACTAGGAGTATGCGTTGGGGGCGGGGGGGGAGGTGGGGCGCCAAATCCAAAAGCATGGCTGGATCAGGCCGGCCTGCAGCTGATTGATTTGAGAAATTGTTTGTTGTGCCCCCCACCAGGCCTGCAGCTGGCTCCACCTATCAAAAAAAGCCTGCACACCCAAAAATCTGCAAATCTGCAAATCTACGACAAATCGCCAACGAGAGGTCCTATCAAGAATATTTCGCTCCGTGATAAGAAGAAAATAGCAGAAGTAGTAACTTTTACCGCAACTATGAGTTTGTGAAGGAAGTTTTGATAGGATCATTCCAGATAATAACGTGTGCAGGCTTTTCAGTCACCCGCGAGCCCCCCATCTATTACATAGCTGTGAATCTAGATAAGACCCCTTCGAATCGAGTCTTGAGATCCTTCTCATCACAATACCTTATGTATCTGGACCATTTGTATAATCCATCTCTCCTTTCGCCGAGCCTTAATGGAGGTGATTGGAGCGGCCGCAACCATCCTTCAAGTTGCGGACGTAGCCTTGCGCACCACCCACGCTTTGATTGAGTATACGAGAAATACACAGAATGCCTCTTCTGATCGGAAGGCACTGGCTGAGGAGGTTCAATCGCTTTCTGGACTCCTCGAAAGGCTACGCGCCCGTGCAGAAACTTCCCTCCCAGACGACAAATGGCTTGGGCAGCGAATAGATCTTGTGCAACAATTCGCTCGAGCGTATGACGATCTTGCTACAACACTCAAGATCAACGTCAACACAAAGCAGCCAGAGAAAGAGTCGCGAGTGAAGACAATGCAGACCATTGCCAGATGGTCGTTCACCAAGAGTGAGATATACTCCATGCTCGAGCGTATTACTCGCCTTCAGCTCTACGCGAACACACTGCTATTAGACGAGCAATACTCGCATGTGGAACGAATAGACACTAGACAGGAAATTGCCCAGGAGAGAAAGCAGAGGTCCATAATTATGGGCTGGCTCACTCCCTTGCAAGTGACTACTGCCCACGAGAATATATCAAAACGACCGGAACAAGGCTCTGGTAGATGGTTTTTGACATCTTCTAAATTTAGATCATGGCAATTGGGCGCTTACAAGTTATTATGGTGTCCGGGTATCCGTAAGTCCTTGCTTGATATTCCCGCTTTCCATCAGCAATCTAACTCCAATGTATAGCCGGAGCAGGGAAGACTGTCATGGCGTATTTTCATCGTCTCCTATAGTGACTATACCTTTTGCTCACAATTGCAGGTCTATCGTCGTAGAACATATCCGCCGTCAGCGAACGAAGAAGGAAATACTCAGCAAAGAAGTGGGAGTCGCGATGATGTACCTCAAATATACCGACCATCATCAAACTGTGGAGAATATCCTTGGAAGCTTCCTAGCGCAGCTCGCTCAAGATCACGAGCCTCTGCTACCATTTTTGCGCGATCTGTACGAAAGACATCGAGCCTATAGGACTTCACCAACGCTAAGCGATCTTTCGATAGCGCTTTCCGATGTCAGCAATCTGTATAAACGGATTTATGTTGTTCTTGATGCCCTTGATGAATGTACCGACGACGTTCGGTGGGAGTTGATAGAAAAACTTCGTGAAATCGAGCCACGAGTCCATCTATTAGTGACCTCTCGCGATCTTGACAGCATAGAGGAGGAGCTCCAGGATTTCGAGCGACTGGAAATTAAGGCCAATAAGGCGGATCTTGAACTGTTCATCGACCACCACATTCAGAAAAACAAAAATCTGCGAAAGATCGTCCAGAAGAGTCCAACGTTAAGTGAAGATATTAAGGTTGCTGTAGTGACAACAGCTGAAGACATGTACTCAACCCTTCAACTAATCAAAATGCCTGGATTCTTTCTAATCTATTAAGGTTCCTTCTTGCGCGCCTTCACGTGGAGTCATTGGGCAGTGCCGCGGCACTTTCAATCAAACACGTCCGGATGAAGCTTCAAAGCTTGCCTACAACGTTGACTGCCACTTACGATGAAGCGATGCAACGTATCGAAGCCCAAGACCCAGATCACACCAGCATTGCCCTTAGGACACTAGCATGGATTAGCTATGCTTTTCGATCCTTATCCCTTGGAGAACTTCAGCACGCTTTGGCCATTGAGCCTGAGAGTACCCGACTCGATGAGGAAGACATCATGGACGGAAATAGCATAACGGCCCTGTGCGCGGGCCTGGTGGTTATTGACCAGGGGACAAACACTGTAACCTTGGTTCATTATACTGCTAGTAAATACTTCGAAGATGTGCGTGCTTATCGATTTCCTGGGTTTCACGCCACTATCACCTTGAGCTGTGCAACTTATCTTGCCTTAAGTGCACTTGGAAATTCCAGTATCTGGGCAATTGTTCGACAACATCCACTGGCTTGTTATGCCGCGCAGTATATGGGCGACCATGCACGCCACAATCCCGAAGACGCATTGGAGCCATCTATCCTGGAAGTCATCGGGAGATTACTTTCGCATCCAGATAAACGAAAACCCCTCATATCACTTCTGGATGGTCTTGATTTGATAAGATCGGGTTTTTATTCTGGCGAGATGCCACAGAACGTTTCAGAAACCACTGAAATCGCTGGTGAATCTACAGCGGCCAATGCAATGAGCCCATCCGGGGAAAAGCAAGAGTCTGCTAAACACATAGCAATGGGAGTCGCCGAAGTGGACGTGTCTTCAACTAGCAGACGATCCGTATTCTCTACAGCCGCTACCCTATCTAACGTCTCGGAACTGGTCCACGTTACTTCCGAGGAATTTTCCAGAGTCGATCTTGAGGCTGAGTCGCTGCTGTGGCAGTCTCGTGCAAGCGTCAACCGAATGCCCGAGGTAACGGCTCTGCACCTTGCCGCGTCAATGGGGCTTGCAAGAGTGGCGTCATTGCTGATTAGAGAGAGCGGTGATATTGATGCCGTGGATGACACAGGCAAGACAGCGCTCGCCCTTGCCATGGAAAGAGGCTTTGAGAGAGCAGTCGAATTCCTAATCAACAGTGGGGCTAGTGTAGACCTGGGCTCAGGACATGGGCAAGGAATTTTCCTCCTTGTCACGGAGAGGAATTGGGATACTGTTGCAGGCATCATAGCGCACAAGACAAGATCCAAGTACGACCCCGACGTTGGATGTGATCTACGGCAGAACGCAGCGCGATTTCTGCTCGCTGCTTATGATGGCAACCATCAGGAGATTAGCAGCCTAATCAAGGAGGCAGGCCTTGGGTTGGACGTCCGAGATTCTGACGTTGGAGCTACAGCATTGTTCATAGCCGTTGAACGCAAGCATATACCAGTTGCCGAAATTCTTTTGAGCTCTGGGATCGATGTCAACTCTAAAGATAGCGTGGGCCAAACCTCTTTGCATAGGGCTACCCACTGTGGACACGACGAGATGATTCGCTTCTTAACAAAATATGACGCCGACATCGATTGTCAAAATGACGATGGACGTACGCCATGGAGTGCAAACATTCGAGGCAATAATGAAACTGTCTTGAAGCTGCTATTAGATGCAGGGGCCGACCCTAGCACCAAGGGTCATCAGGGAGTGAGCGAGCTCTACATAGCAGCGCAAAACGGCGAGACACAGCTCGTGAAGCTCATGCTCGACAGCGGCACCGATTCTTCAATTCGAACGCAATTCGACTGGGCTCCTTTGCACTGGGCTGCTTATTATGGTCATGTTGATTGTGTCAGGTTACTCATCCAAGCTGGCGCTGAACTTTCTCCAGTGTCCGATCAAGACGCATCTCCGTTGGACTTGGCTATCCGCGCCAACCAGATCGAGATAGTCGACATTTTGACTCGTGCTGGAGCGAAGGAGAGTCGGGACATACAGACCTTATCAAAAATCAGCGAAGAGGTCGACAACACGGAGTCCACGCCTAGGAATGCAAAGAGTGCAAGCGATTCTTCGACCAAGACATCTCTAACCTTTGACAAACCGGTACAACAAGGACTGCTTGTTGGCCAATTCATCTATCCTTCAACATCCTTGAAGCAAAAAGGCTTTATTTACCAGCTTTCGCAACCTCTAGATACCTTATCGACCTTTCTGAGCATCAGGACGGCTCAAAGACGAGCCGACATGGTCGAGTACCCCATTGGTCCAGAGGGGTATGATTCCACTCACATACTGTACGATATCTGGCGCAGAACGGTAGACTATCAGCGGCTGCAATTGCGCGGAGGAACACAGAGTAGCTTTTCCGGTGTTATTGACATGCAAAGAGACTGGACAGGTGGCTGGAAAGTGCGCCACAATCACGATGGGGAAAGTGAATATTTGTTCCGTACCACGCCCGACTGGTCCAGGATGAAAGAGGAGGGATGTCGATGGATGACTGAGGAGGGGAAGCTACTCGCAAGGACGGGAGTGGAAGATGTCACTCCCACATTGTGTTTCGAGCATGGATTGCAGAGGGGAATGCAAGACGTGCTTGTTTCGTGCTGGGTCGGGAAGCTCTGGTCTGAGATGGTCGCTATACCAAGGAAGGGGGAAGAAAAGGCTTCGCAAGCTTAAGAAGCATAAGAAGCATAAGCTTGTTAGTTCATTCCCAGTATTACGAACGCTTTGTCCTTTTACTTTATTCTCCCATTGACCATTGATCATTGATCATTGGCGGTCTTTGATTCGTTGCTCAAGCCGTCAACACCGACTGTCATAATGGAAGGTCATCCCGAAACCCCATTTTGAGTAAATTTAGCAGACGCAGAAATAGGTGTAATAGTCGCTGAGGGGTCACGCTCATCTACTTGTACTCTGACCAAAACCTCATCGTATAAAGGCAATCTCCGTGCGGCTTGCTCAGTTCATCAACGATTGCTCATGACGCTGCAAGCAATTTCTTTTAACATTTATGGTCGCTAAATTTGAGCCTCGCCTTCAAATGCTAATTCATATAATATATCCTCTTCAGTTATGGAGCTTGGACGGCTGTGTGATCCGGTACTGACATCTCAACCGTCACCATCACTCCCCTTTCTCCTGACTTCGATTCGCCCAAAATGGAGACCAGCCCCAGCAGAAATGCTTCCACCCCACTTGTCAAGATCCATTTCACAGTCCGCCAGTCCGCCGAATCAACCTCCAGTGCAGCCGATCTCCCCTTCCCCAAATGACGACCTGTATTGAAAATCTATTAGCATAACAATCCGCGAGTGCAAATCCCGAGTCCTGCTCAGGCTCCAAGTCGGCCGCAGAGAACGCAATCCCGTCTTATCTTCGGTCTCATCGTTAAGCTTCTCAAAAGCCAAGCCGTTTCTAACCTCAATGGAAACAATAGGGCGCCTGCCCTATCAGCTCGAGGTAATTCCATTGCCAGAACCTGTAGGGGACTGAAGTCAAGAGCAAGAACTGATGTTACACTACAGAACGCACAGGAGGAGGAAGACCAAGGATCGACTGCATTTCCGACTCACGTTGAGATGGAAGAAAAGCGAGGGAAATAAAGCCTGTTTAACTACTACAAAGATGAAGTTGATAAGGCGGCGAGGCCTGGCCTTGTCAAGCTCGGCGTGGCTATTGGGGTAGGATTCGGAAAGGGTCAGAAGTGGTAGAAGCGCATTTGGTGGGGTGGGAAAGGCGTTAAAAACAACGACCTAAAGCGCCGATTATGGCTACCTTTTCACCATAATTCCATGGGGTGGAAAAGGGGTCAAAACATATACCTAGCATCTACTCACCTCTGCCGAACTTTTTTTCACCCCTACCGAGCTGTAAGCCCCTTTGACTGTAGGCTGTTTCTCTATGTACTTAGTGCTTATACTCGTAATATCTAGAAGTAAGCTACTTACACTAAAATACTAAATGTCAACGTCTTAGTAGAATCTCTCGATAAATAGCTACATTTATTTTATTATTTATAATAATATATTTTACTATAATTAATTATATATTATTATTCTATAGCTTTATATAATATTAAGATTAATTATATTTTTAGAGTAGTAATTATAATTTATAGATTACTATATCTTAAAGAATTTAATATAATTAAGCGAAAAATAGATATAAAAGCTTATACTATAGTTAATATTATATAAAGAGTATTTAATAGAGTTAGAAACGAGGATTTTAACGATATTTTAATATATTTAAACGACTTTAATAGAATTAAATCTCTATTCGAATAGAAGATTAAATAAATCTTTTAAAAATAATCTATTAAACTATTTTAAAGTATCTTAAATTACTTTATAAAGAGATTATTTAATAAAAAAATATCGAGATCTCTAAGGCTAATAAAAAATATTAATAAGATAAAAATAAACTATAGCTATTAATCTCTTAATTTCTTCTTATAAAAGTTACTTTTAAATATATATATAAAGTCGACGATAATAATTATATTATTAAAAGAATTAAGTAAAAAATCGAGTTAAAAAAGTTACGCTTAAATTATTACGAGAAATATAAATAAGATAATCTTTATATATAAATTCTTAGCGAGTTAGATTACGAGCGTACTCTTAATATACTATTTAGCTCTATAACTAGCGAGTCTTAGCGAAGATACTTTCTATTATATTATATCTTCTTTCTATATATATAATTCGTTAATCTTATTATTCTATCTATTTTATCTATATTAATATTATATCTATACTAGTTCTAATATTATAATAAAGCTTCTTTATATATCTTCTTAACGAAGAAAATTAATAGATTTTTTAATTTTTACTTAAAGTAAGTAATTAAGTCTAATAAAGAAAACGCTAAGTATTTCTATTATATATTTAAATTATTAAATATCTATATTATTTAAAGAATCTATATTAAATAATCTATATTATTAATAATAGTCTAATTTATTAAAAAACGAGTTTACTATATTTAATATAAGAAATCCTTCTTCGCTTTATATTATAAATATTAAATTCGCTATAATTTATTTAAATCTTAATCTACTCTCTAAGCGAAGTAATATTATTAAAAAGAGTTATATTTAAAGTATTTATAGTCTTTACGACGATCTAATTAATTAAGAAACGAGTATTATAAATCTCTACGAAGAAATAATACTATTTCGAGCGTTATAGCTAAATTTCGACTTTTAACATAGAGATCTACTATCTTTCTCGAGTTATATACGCCTTTATAGTATTAGAATTCTAGAGATCTCTTTATTTCATTCGATAAAGACGCTTTTACGTCTATCTTCTTCGTCTTATTTTTATTTATATTTAATATATTATAAATTTTAACTTAAACTTATCTATATTAATATTAAGATATCTTTCTTTATATCGTTAATTATCTATATATTATAGCTAGCTCTATCTTATATACGACGATTTATATAGAAGATACTTATCTCTTAACTCGCTATTACTTTATATGCTATAAATATAGCGCTCTCTCTCTACTAAGAATCTTTATTAACGATATCGTAAGATATTAAGTTATCTAAAGAAGACGCGATGTTAAGAAATCATTATGATTTAACTCATATATGTGTGTGGTATAAAAGATGATGATTGTTCTATGTGCCTGCTGAGCAGATATGTGCGGTGCCAAGCCTACGCTAGTAGCCCTATGAGTATCCCTAAGGCATCTCATAACACGCGAGGTTAAAATCGATTTGATATTCTAGCTTCTTCTTCTTTATAGAAGATATTAGAATAGTAAGAAGAAATATAAATCTAAAACTCGACTAGCATCTCTATCTTTTCACTCTCGTTCTTATCTCTAAGACTTTACTTATATTACGAGATTTCGAAGTATTAAAAGTATATTTAAATCGATTAATCTCGCTATAGTTAGTTAGATAATTACTTAGCTCGAGATTATTAAATTTATCTATATTTAATAGCCTTAATAGATTTAAATTTAAGAATTAAAAAATAAGAATTATAGATAAACTTAGTCTTAATAAGAATTACTATTCTATTAACGCTTTTTAAATAAACTATATAATATCGCGCTTTAGAGAAAACGCTATCGAGTATACGATATCTAGACGTTAAAAGATTATAAAAAATCTTTATCTTTTAATTAACGATCTTCTAAATTAACTAAGTAATCTTTATAAGACTTTATTAAATATTATTCGATAAAGAAATATTTATAACTATTTAATCTTTAGAAGATATAATAATTAGTTATTTTTCGAGTATTATATAGAGTTTATAAAATATATCGCGTATATATAAAAGTATAACGATAAAGAATATTAGATTAATATTATTTAATTAGATCTTATAATCGACTTAAGAAATAAAGTAAATCTTCGTCTTTAAGATAAATACGCTATATACGAAAGAAAGTAAATATTATTAAATTTAAAGAAATATTAGTATATATAAAAGAATAAGATAGGGCTAAATTAGAAAATCTTGAATTTATATATATAGCTAATTATAAATTCGTTAGATCTATACTTTTTAATTAGATATCGCGAATAAATAAATTAGCATTCGCAATTATTAAAAATCTATAAAAATCTATATATAGAAGTCTTCTCCTCTAAAATAATCAGCTTTCTATAAATATTATTACTTTATAATTTCGTAAATTATAGAGCTTAATATACGCTTTCTAACGCTATAAAAATAATAAAGTTTAGTCTACTATTAGTAAGTTAAACTAATATTTAAATATTATAATTATATTAAACGCGTTTAAAAATCGAGATTAAATAATAATTCTTTTATTTATTTATATAACTATTATTTCTCTATTACTCTATTAATTCTATTAATTCTATTAATATAAACATATTTATTCTCTCTACCCCTCGCTTTTATATTACTAGATTTATAAGATATATATACCCCTTCTACCCCCCTTTTAGAGCCTCTATTAATATCTTTAAATCGCTTCTTAGCGAATTCGCTATTATTAATAATCGAGGTTATAAGCGAGCTTAATAGCTATCTATTACTACTTATAAACGTATTAAAAAGCCTTTAAAAAGAGTTTAAACGAATATATTCTTCTCTATATACTTCTTTTAAGTTAATAATAATATCTTTTAATCTAGCAATACTATCTTCTAAGACGCATTTTTCTTCTTTATTTATTTATACTTAAAAACGCGTTAAAAGGCCCTTAAAAAGAGCCCGAATAGATTTATAGTTATTATCTTTCTTTATATACTTCTCTTAAACTAGCGATACTTAATTAGTTATTTAATTAATACTATCTATTCTATTAGTTTAATAATTTACTTAGTTAAATTATTAGCTAATTACTTAATTATTTACTTAATTAACTATTTAATTAATTACTTAATTAGAGTACTTAATTAAATAAAAGAAAAAACTATAATAAGCGAATATAAAGAATACTATAAAGAATATTATAGATATAATTAGTAATAGTAATAATATAATTCATCTACTCTTTACGATCTTATATTAATTTATTTAATTAGAGTAAGAGAAGTTATTATAGTAAGTAAATGCGAAAAATACTACGGAGAATACTACGAAGAAACTAAGCGATAATAAGATTATTATCGTTAAGAATACGACTTAGCTCTCTAAAATCCCACGTTATATACTCTCTATAATTTTATA